GAGAGAGAGAGTGTGTGTGTGTGTGTCTGCGAGACGCAGTCATCGAACAAACGGACCTGAGCACGGCGGGCGGCGGTTGGCTCGACGCAGGAACGCAAAGAGATGGAGGCAACGTCGTTGATGGTCCTGGCGGCCGTCGTGGCCTTGGTCTTGGTCATTGTGGGCTATTGTATGTCGTCGTTGTTGTTCTTTGGGAAGGGGCTTGAGCGAATGCAGACACAACTTCCGACTCGTCGCCCGTGTGCCGACACGCTGCTGTCTCATCTCACCGTCCGGTGCGCTAGTGCTGCATCAAGCCAAGGGGGGCGTGCGTGCTGACCAGGTGTTGTTGGTGGGCTGTAAGGGGGCGGGCAAGACAACCCTCTTTCTCAAGGTGAGACGCAGCGCCGCAGCGCCAAGGATGACTCAAATGTGCCATTGCGCCGAGACATGGCTCGACTTCTCATTGGCTCGGCTGGAATGCCCGCATCGGCAGCTGTGTCATGATCGACAAATGCCCACGGTGACCAGCATGAAGCCAAACACCGCCACTCTGACGGGCGATCAAGAAGGCCAGCAAACCGTCATCGCCGATTTGCCTGGCCATCAGCGCCTGCGCACGCAAGTGCTTCGTCTTTTGCACGGCCATCCTCCACCGGCTCGTGAGATGCCACCGTACTAACTCCGCACGCCCTGCTCTGTGCTTGCTGCTCAGGACTTGCTTGGCGGAGGCTTTGCCACGGGCCCGGGGCATTATTTTTGTGGTCAATGGCTCTCAATTCAAGGAGGAGCTGCGCGAAGTGGCCGATCTCCTGTACAGCGTCCTCTTGAAGACGCTCGACCGCGCCACGCCAATCCTTCTCGTCTGCACCAAGCAGGTGAGATGGCTTTGCTTTGGCTGCCTGACCTTGCGTGGTCTGTGACTGACAGCGCCCACGACTCCATCATGATCCAACAGGACATTGTGACGGCTCAAAAGTCCAAGAGCGTCGTTCGACGTCTCTGTGAAGAGCTCACGGCGCTCCAGGATACGCACAAGTATGCCAACCGTTGATGGATCAACTCGAGCAACATGGGTGGCCCGCTCCCACATGTTTGCGTAGCAGTGCTGATGCACGTTTGCTTATGCCCCCGTCCTGCATGTAGCGGCGCCGTGGTCGAGGACACGGACAACAAGACCACCGAGCAAAGCTTGCCACTGGACGTGCGTTCCGCTCATTGCCAACCCCGACTGTTTCCGTTCCTTTCAACAAAAGAACGGAGCTTTTGTTGAAGGTTCAAAGCCCCGTTTCGTCGCGTTGAAAACGACTGATCCTGGTTTTGTCCTCGTCTGTGCAGATCGATGGCCAGTTTCGCTTTGAGCTGCTCGACAACCGTGTGGACATTCTCGAGACGACGTTCAAGTCCAAGGTACGGTGCCCTCTTGCCAAAAAATGGGGCAATTCCCGACAACGACAAGTTCTTGACATTCTTTCTGCCGTTGACAGGACGCCACCGCAGTGGACCAGTCACGAGACCGCGTGAAGCAGTGGATCTTTGACGCGACTTTATAAATCAAACAAAGTCGACTGGGCAGTCTAGGAACCTTGCTGCTCCTCCCCATCCAATCAAAAGTATCGAGCTCTGATCGACATGCTTCGTCAGCCACATGATCATGGTGTCGATTATGGTACAAATTAAGAGAGCTGTCAAGCGGGCGTGGGTTTTGGCTCAGGTACATGGGAAACAAAACAACAGGCAAGCTTACACATCATTTTCGAGACGTAATTCGTGGGTTGCGAGTGCCTTGATATCCCGCAAACGCAGGCGTGCTGGAGATGGAATGGCTCATCATGCTGTATGGTTCCGGACTGTACGGGTTCGGCGTACTGGGCATCGACGCAGAAAGGCTTCTGGTCATGCCTGGCCGCTGAGCCACGTGGAACACGCGGGTACCGGCGTGCATGCCGTGTTGAATGACACCCGTCATCAAGTAACGGTGAAGATCGCTGTGTAGCACGAGGTGCGGCAAGTCCTGCAAATTGGAGGCCGAGGTCGGTACAGGGGTTTGGGAGCCGGCCAGTGTCATGCTTGCCCGCCGGGCCTGCTACAAACGCAAGCGGCCAGTCAGATTTCAAGTCCGTACAAGACAGTGGCGGGGATGCTCGACCGGACAAACCTGTAAGGAATTTCGTTGAGCAGTGGCCGTCGCTTGATACTGCGCTCGTTGCTGTTGAAGTTGTTGTTGTTGCTGTTGTTGCTGTTGGAGTTGCTGTTGGTACTGCTGTTGCTGTTGTTGCTGCTGCTGGCTTTGCGGTTGTTGCTGCAGTTGCTGTTGGCGTTGCTGCCGAAGCTGTTGTTGCTGTGTCTGTTGCTGCTGTTGAGCGGTCTGGCTTGTTGACGCTGAAGCAGCCCTGAGCGCCTTCGTTTCCTCAATCACTGCAAGACATTGTCGAATAAAAAAGAAAAAAAAAAAAAAAAAAAAAAAAAAAAAAAAAAAAAAAGACCAAGCCATTGAAGGTTGCATGGCCACCGGCACAAGTACCGGTACGAGTAAGAACTTGCATAGGAAGACGCATAAACAGATAAACATGATTCAGGCGCATAAAGAGAAAAACATAATTCAAACACAATCAAACGCAATCAAACAAACAGAGCAAACGGGCATCGTACCTTGCTCTGGCGACACGGGCCGGGGCACCTTGGGAGTCAGAAGCGAGGGCGCTTCCGTAGGAACGGGGTTTGGTACTTCTTTCAATTCTGTGCCTTGTAGTGTAGCCCAAATGTCGTGTTTCAGTGGACGACCCTCGATCTGCTCCAAAAACAACTGCTGCTCCCTGCAGAACGCGTTGGCCTCGTCCAACGAGCCGAAGTTTGTGCTGGCCCCAACCGAGTCAGGAATATGGTCCACGAGGCTCAGTGAAAAGGATGTTGCGCACACATCGCTCAAGCAAAACGGCGGGGTACATACCAGAGGCGAGGCTCAAAAGGCAAGTCCCAAGAGTCGCGGACGCAGACCTGCCAAGGGCGCTCCCCCTCAATGCGCCGGACTTCCACAATTTGCCCATAGCACACAAGTTGATGCGACTTGGCATTCTCAACTGGGCGTCGCACTTGCATGGTTTCAGGATCATCTAAATTCAGATGTCCCGCCCAACATCGGTGAGTCATAGTGCATGGCATGGCCTGAGGGTGGCGAGGGCATAGCATACCGAGGTCGGGTATACACTGGCCCGCAAAAAAAGGGTCGTCTGCGAGCACATGACGAGTGGACGCAAGAGACGGCCGAAGGCAATGGGTGGCGCGAGGCTCAAACTGCATCAAACGGATCCGCTTCATCTTGTCACAGCGCCGAAGCTCGTCTGCACACAATCAACCCGGAAGTGGAACGGGGCAGAATGCGTAAAAGTCCATGCGAAAAGGCGGGACTAGCCACATGAAACGGCTTCAACGGGATATCACGTTCTTTTGAACAACATCTGCTTGGGGTCAAAGCAAGATTTGAACATACTGAGACGGATTGCCGGCATGCGGGGATGGAGCACGGTTGGTAGGCCCTCGGGTGGTGGGGTCGTAGATGACGACGGTAGAACCCACGTGTCTTCGCGCTCAAGGTCAGACACGGGGTCACGGGCACGCGTGTCTGAAGCATCTTGCTCGAACCAGGCCGCGAGCGGCGAAGTCTGAGGTGCGCCCAAGCGACCGCTCGTCCCGTCTTCCAGCAGATGCGGCCTAGAGTAACGGAATCACAGCGCGTCCACAAAGCAAAGGCGTATCAGATCGACTCGAGTTGTCTGCTGGTCGAACCAAAATCAAGCGTGCAAGGTAACAACAAACAAACTTGAGAATCTTGTGGAGAGGATGCTGACGAGGAGCTTCGGCACGAGACCGAGCCTCGGCTGCAAGACGCTCTATGAGTCAGTTGATTGTCGTAGAGGGTGCGGGTGGGTTACGGGTGTGAGCACGCGCAAAGGTGCATGGAGGTTTTGTTGGACGAGTGCACCGAACAGCCTCACCAGCACGGTGGCGTCGAATGTCATCGTCGTCATCGGCCCACGGCTTGTTGAGCAGCCGGGCGGGGTGTCGGTTAACGTAGTCTAAAGTGCGATCGTGAAAAACGTCTGGATTTGTATCGAGGTCCAAGCATTGAGGTGGGGCAAGTCGTTGCACCAGAGCCGCCTCAACTGCAACAAAATCATCGTCGGACCAATCAAGAGCCGCGTGTTTGGGATGTGTGGCCTTGATGAGGTGGATATCAGCCAACCGCCCCTGTTGCGAGGGCGCCAGCTGCACGACGCGAACATCCGGAAATATGGCGCCGTGCTCTGCCCACAGGTCGGTGTGGCAGCTCACGAGACGGTAATCCCGCAACTAAACATTGAGGCAACACGCTTTGGTGAGTCGAATTATTGAGAGGCATTGAAAAGAAAAAGGAAGAAAAGAAAAAAAAAAAAGGCTGGCCAGCGAGGGTTCGAAAGCGGCACCTCGACGGCAATGAGACCCTCATTAAAATCGTCCCAGCTTGAGGAAACAATCAAATCATGGAGGTCAAACGGCAGAATTCCTTCGGAAATTGTCTAAGGGTACACCGGGCCCAGTGATGATAGACGTATCGAGACCAACTGCCTTGCCCCTTCGGATTTAGTCACCGACCTGTAGTATGTGATCAAACTCCTCGCTATACGGCATCATGTAGGGCTGAATGCTGGGGTCTGAGCCACTCGACACGGCCCAGCCAGATTCAAACAGACATAGCACAAGCGCCACCCGTTCCGCCGCATCTGCCCGTGTCTGAAGGCGGAGTGTGAAGCAAGACAAATCGAGCACAGGGTGAGACAGCGATGATAGCTTGCTGTCGCCTTCTTTCTCTGACCCAATCTCCGGCCAGGCCAGGCCAGGCCCAAAAAAAGGGGGCAGCAGAGCAAAAACGACCGATATATAGGGTCTGCAGGGGCGAAATGCCGGCACGTACCTCGGTCCGCGGCGCGAACCGCTGAGAAGCTGCAACCTGCGCCATATGGCAAGTCACGAGGGCAGGTGCGCTCACAAGAGAACAAGGAACCCAGCCCAATTCTGCGACGCGCTAGCGCGGCCCGATGATAAATCAAAGCGCGCCCATTCGGCTAAACCACTTCCACGCTTGGTATCATCCCAGCCCGCCCAGCATTAGCCTGTGCACGGGTCGATCCGCGCTGCCGTTTCTCCTCACGTTTCAGCCTCTCGCGCAGATTTCCACAAAAAAAAAAAAAAAAAAAAAAAAAAAACGGAAAGAAAAGCATTTGTCCACAACACTTGTTTATCACAGCAGTAGTTTGATTGGATGCTTCGCAAGGCATACGAGAATGTGGCTAAGGGTCGGTGCTCCTCGTTGCCCGCCTGCCCGTTGCATGTTTGAAGCTCATCATACTCCTACTTTGGTATAATTATGATCAATTCACCTGTGAACAAGGGGGCGACGAGGTGCTCCACAAAATCTAAACGTTTTGGTGTTAGGCCATGGCCAAACAGAGGCGACCAGTAGACTCGCTGCCTAATGATCGCAGCGGCGCTGGACAGAATGGGGAGCACAGGCCATTATAAAGATAATGCTCGTTGGTACAGACCAGGCAAGCACTGGCCTCGCCTCGTTCATCTAATGAACATTTCCAGCAATTGGCATCACATTGACAAGCTCCGCCATCCGACAAGCGCGCCCCACCCAGGCACACAGTCGAGGTGAGGGGCGCTGCCCCCACTTTGGCCTCTGCCATGACATGACACCTCTGTAGGCCCGGTGCAAGGGTGTGAGTTGCCACGTGTGCCAGAGCTGGGCAGGCTGCCACGCAGGCGCCGTTGTATAGCGCAAAGTCAGGCGCGCAGAGGAGGCACTCGCTTGTTCCATGCACGCATACTTGGCAGTTCCCGCCGCAATCGCACCCCGCGCTTAGCGCACCCGTGCCCATCTCACGTCCGTAGGCACACAATTGAGGTGCGGCAACGGTTGTTGCCGCCTTGACAAACCCCAAACTGGTTTGCGTCGTCTCAACGCTCGTCCCCAAATCCTGGTCCAACAGGCCCGAACAATACTCGTCGGTCGACGTGCGCCAGTAATGAACTGCACGACAGTAGGGATCACGATCACACTCTGTAAAGCAGCTATCCAGGGTCATGCGACGGCTGAAAAAGGCCTTGCTACTGGGTTGGTCCAGGGCCGTAGCAAATCGCATCGCAATGCCTGCTGGCACCCCTGGCCACGCTCCAGCAAACTGCACGCGGTAGCCATCGCGAGGAAAGTCAGCGCTGACATTGGCTGCCAACTCTGTCATCCACTCGATATGGGCATCAGGCGTGCTTGATGACAGCGGGGCGGTTGTTGTCCCCGCATTGCTGCTGGGTTCTTGGGTCGTCTCCAGGGGGGCGGATATCACCTCCACGACTGTACGCGCCATGAGCGGTGCACCCGTAGATCGCATGACGGCCACAAAAACGTCATATTCCCCTGGCGCGACGTTGGTAAACTGGTACACGCCAGAAAGCTGGGCCACCTCCACTTCAAGATCTCCCAGCTTGACAATGGTCATGACGTACTGATTCTCATCCAACATCGTGTCCCATTCAATCTCAACAATGTTCGAGACCACGGGAATTAAGGGGTTGGGTTGATGTAAAATGACTTGCGAAACCTGCTCCGTGCTGCTCACGGCGGGCGTGGTACTCGCAGCGGACTCCGTGCTCATGCCAGTCGTCTCAAGAACAAACGAGGTTGACTGGACACGCTCGACCCCAGTACCACCGGCCACCTGTACCAGCAAAGTCAGAGTGTGGGGCCCGGGAGCCAACCCGGCTGGCAGGCTCCAAGACTGCGTTGTGCGCTCAGCCAAGTCGAGCGCATACTGCTCAACGCCATCCAGCTCCATGGCGGCTTGCTGCGTGCCCACGTTGACGTTGGTGCTCCAGCGCCATGTGACAGCGGTGTCTCTTGCCAGGGTCGAATCGGGGCCCGCAGGACTTGTAAACTGTGCCACCACTGTCGGTGCCTCCGAGACGTTAAAGTGGCGGTTCATGAGAATAGCATGAACCGCTGCCAGCTCCTCCACCCCCAAGGCGCGATCGTAGACCAGCGCCTCAGCCACATCCATCCGCACCGAGTTGGTGCGTGCGTGCTCCACGCCCATCATGAGAGCGCCGGGCTGAAGGTTCCACCCCACAAGAAACGAGGAGACGGTCGAGCCATTAACGAGCATGCGATTGGTGGTACCATCGGCCACCACTGTGTGGAGCAGCCAGGGCTGCCCTTGTCCTTGCCAGGCAGACTCCGATCCATCCCCTGAGCAGTACGTCTCGACCATCAGATTGCCCGCCGGCGACACGGCGGCCCCCGCCACCTGATAGCAGGCGGGCTGACCAAAGGTCAAGCCACCCCAACCCGCACTCCAGTAGCGCACTGCCACTACAACTGTAAAGCTGGTTGTTGGCTGCGCCGCAAAGGCCTCCGCTCCCAGCTCAGCCCCGGCGCCGTCAAATTGCAGAAATTGTGCTGGACCGTGAGCAGGGGTGGAGCTCCGCTGGACGAGTTGCGGACCATGGCCCATCAACGGTGCCAGCGTGTTGTTGTAGCCTGACAGGTCGGTCCAAAGGCTAACTTGACCCGACTCGTCTGTGGTTACATTCTCTGCCGCCACGACGTGCAGCACCAAGCCGTGTGTAGGCAGATGCTCATCGCAAGCTCCGCTGGGCTGAAACACGGCCATGTACGTGGCTGCATCAGGGGCGACGACCAAGGTCCCAGCGTTTGGCAGTGCAGACAATGCAGTCAGTGAAACATTCCACTCGCTCAACACGTAGCGCACGCCCGCTCGGCAGTATGCAGGCTCGAGACGAAGCTCGTGCTGGAAGCCAACTAGGGTGTCCAAGGTGTATGGTAGAGCATGTGGAATGCCGTCGACCAGAAGCATGGCCCCGCTGGGATTGCTGGCAAAGACGATCGCCGCTTTGCGAGGCCAGATATTAACGTGCTGGAGCGTCATGAGGCCGTGGGCATCCGTAGCGCGCGCTTCAATGAGGTAGCCAGTCTGGCCACCAAAGCTGTGACCACGCACAGGAGCGTTAAACTCGAGTTGTGCCCCCTCAGTCCAGGCCATGGTGGGGTGAAAGTGCTGGTCATGACGAAAGCGGACGCTCCAGGCCAGCGTGGCATTGGGCGTGGCAGATGTCGCAATCAGGTCCAAGCGATTACCAGCAGAGAAGACCGAATTGTTGAGGGGAGATGCCAGCTCCAAAGCGGGAGGTGCGCCGACGGTCAAGGGTAGGGAATGGCTTCTGGTGGTCATGTGACCATCCGAGATGACCACTGCCACGGCATACCTTCCAGCCTGCGTCAGGCTGAGCGTAGCACTTTGACCGACTGCCCAGGGAATGACCTGCCCCTCCATGTACCAGTTATAGCTCAGCGGGCTCTCTTCCGGATCCGAGGCATTGGCGGTCAGCGTGATTGTCACCGGTGCCTCGGGCCAAAATGCCTGATATTGAACGTTGTGAAGCACTGGCGGTCGGTTGCCATCATAGTACATGTAACGAAAGACGTGGCCAGCCATGTCCGTGGCATAGATGGCTCCATCGGGGCCCTCCGCCAAGCTGAGCAGATTTCCCTGAAACTGTGCCATTGTTGTTGATTCTATCGGGAACGAAACAAAGAGGCGTGCGCATGAAGCCACGGGGTTCTAGCATGCGAGCATGGTGCGTTGGGCTGAGTCTGTACGAACCGACAACGGTTGGCTCTGGGCTCCAGGTCGTTTCCAACACCTTGATCCAACCCGACACGTAATCGCCGATGATAATGGCTCCGTCGTAATGGCTGGGGAACATGGAGCCACGGTATACAAGGCCACCAACAATGGCCATGCCGTAGCCGTCGTGGGGCACAGCGTACAAGGCAGATTCGTGCAACAGACAATCACACGTTGGAAAACGGGTGTCGTTGCACATGCCTTCACACATTGGCCAGCCTATGGGACAGATGTGCAGGGGTCACAGGGCCAACTGAGCGGGCACTCGCACGTCAGCTGAGAATGACTTGATAGGACTCACCATAATTGGCACCAGCCATTTTTGTGGGGTCGTACACGTGCACGTCTTCTGTTGAGATGGCCTAGTTGCATGGAATCAAGATCATGAGTTAGACGCTGCTAGCTGACGATGAATGAGGCAAACGAGTAGAAATTGAGTCGAGCCAAGAACGCGGTCAAGTCGGTTTTTGTTTGCACCTGATCATTGCCGCCGACTTCAGCCATGACGTAGAGGCCAGACACGGGGTCCCAGCGCCCGCTAAAGGGATTACGGAGGCCCATGGCCTGGATGCCGGCATAGAAGGTGCCGCCCATCTGAGCCCCCCAGTTGTCACTGGGTATGGAGCCATCCGCGTTGAGGCGCAGCAGCTTGCCACGCGCAGAGGTGGGGTTCTGAGCCACGTTGCCCTGAAACATGTCGCCCACGGCCACGTACAGCTTGCCATCGGGCCCAAAGTCCAAGCCCGCACCAAAGTGGCAACAGGCATTGTTGTATCCCGTCTCGGGTTCGGTCCAGATGGTTATTTCCGAAGCTAGATCCAAGCGACTGGACAGACCGCCGTCGTTCTCCTCATGGGTGAAGACAGAAATTCGCAATTGCTCGGGTCTAGTCACGCGTTTACACGGTGAGGCATGAGGCTTGGCAGCAGGGATGACCATTACCACAGACAAATGACGTACTGGCGTGGCGACCAATACAGAAAAATCTGCTGGTCCGTTTCGAATTCCGGGCTGAGCGCAAAGTCAAAAAGACCTGCATCATGATGGAGAACGTGGATCAAGAGACCAGAGGTGAACGCAGTCGCCTGCTCGACAGGAGATTGATGCTTGGGCACCACCATGTAACAGTGGCACGCGTGACCCACCGTACTCCACGCCCTGCATCAGGCGGCTGGTGTCAAACTGCGCGTATGTGGCCGCTTCAAGCGAGCTGGTATTGAGCAGCGTCAGGCGACCCAACCGTTCGAGCACCAACAGGCGGCCATCAGGCAAAAAGCGTAGCTTGACGGGCTCTTGATCAAGTGTCAGGAGTGGTTCGCGCTGCACGTGTCCGAGTTGCGCCTCGGTGCAAGGCACCGTGTTTGCCAGCAACAGGATGCAGAGCCAGAGAGCTGCAGCCATGGTCGCACCAACGTGGCAGCGGCTCTTGCTTGCCATGTCGTTGGTACAGGGCAAGGTAGAACTGGGAGGATGCCGAGGTGTGGTGACGGCAAGAAACTGATGTCGTCTTGGTCGAAGCGCGCTGCCGAGCCAGAGCCTTGGCGCGCCAGGGATGGAGCGGATACATGGCCTGTCCGCTCGGAATGGGCAAACGTAAACATGCCAACCCTGAATCAGCATGTGATGATGATCATACATCTGCGTGTCCAGTGGTGCGCATCCACTCGGTAGAAGGGTGAAGCACAAGCAGTCAGGAGGGCTCTTGCCGCGATGGCCCTTAATCCAAAAGACAGCGCGCTGCCATTCACACCATTTGACGTCCCGTCGGTGATTGCTTGCTGGCTTGCAAATTAAATTTGTCAGAAAATGTCATTCAAGTTCAGTTGGTAACAGAGCTTTTTGCGATCTGCGCAGACAGACGCGCAGACGCGGCAGACGGCAGAGATCTGAGGTCACGCAGCACGTTTATGGGCCTTGGGTGATGGATGGATGAATGGAAGGGTGGATGGATACGCACTGCCACCGTGATGTGGCGTTGGGCCGTGTGCAGCCTTGTGGTGATGGTGCTGGGCTCAGGGTTGGTGGTGCACGCTGCATTGGACAATGATGAGCCCCTTATCGGGGTTGATCTGAATGGCAATCTCTACATCAACACCTCGACGGCGGGTGGCAATCCACGCTTGCTGTTAAATGGGGTCGATGTGCTTCAGGAGCTGGCTGAGCTGCGTGAAGTATGCTCTGAAAGGCCGGGGACGTTCTCAGGCACAGTTGACTGTCGGCTGGAGAATGTGCCCCCGAATGTGACGCACATCTTGGGCAACATCAGTCTGCTGTCCTGCCCACTCCTGGTGGCAGAGGATCTGCAAGTTTTTGCAAAACTCGTGCATGTCAGCGGAGACTTGAGAATCGAAGTACGTTGGAACGTGTTGGCGGTTTCTCGACGTTTGCTAGCTCGGATGAGCATCAGTGTATCACGCCACCGTGGCAAGATGAGCTCGCCGTGTTTGACACAATCGTGGTCAACACAAGTCTTTTTACGTCTGATGATCGTGCCGTGAAGTCAGGTGTGCTCTTGATAAATGTGCGATTCTGAGCAGCTCATTCTGTGCTTTGCTCGCTCGAGCAGAACAATGCCGCCCTGGTCAACGTAGATGGGTTTGCAAGTGTCACAAGTGTCGGTGGCCGCTTGTCCATCAGAGTGCGTTGTTGTGTGGCAGCCTGCCATGCGTGTGTGGACGCGGGGTCGGTGCGGTGTTTGTGAGCAACTGAGACGCTGTATTTGCTGGCTTGAGCAGGATAATGGTGTGCTGACCAATCTGGCTGGGCTTGGTAATATCGTCAGTGTCGGCGGCTACTTGTCCGTCAGCGTACGTTGTCGTTTGAGGACATGCCATGCCGTTGAACCGTGTTTAGAGGTGGACGGACAAACAAGGAGGCCCATGTGTTTGTGGGCCCCTGACCTTTGCTGCCTCGCGCAGGATAATGGCGCCCTAACCGATGTGGATGGGCTTGGCAACATCTCCAGCGTTGGCGGCTACTTGTCCATCGTTGTACGTCAGCGCGTGCAAGCGTGTAATCTTGACGTATCCGGTGTGCATGTATGAGAGGACGTTGTCATGCCTTTGTGTTTGTCATCGTCTGATGCCAGTTCTGTTGCCGCAACCAGTCCAATTACGTTTTAGCCAATGTGGATGGACTTGGGAGCATCACCGGCGTCGACGACTGCGTGTACATCAGTGTAGGTGGTCGAACGAGAACGTGTCATGCTGATGGCGCGTGTGTGGATGTGCGTAAGAGCAAATTATGAGGATGGAGAGCTCGTGCGCGTCTAATGTTTTGTCACGCTGGCTTGGACAGTCCAACGACGGTCTGACCAATTTGCATGGACTTGGAAGTATCACCAGCATTGGTGACTGCTTGTACATCCGTGTAGGTGGCCAGTTGGCGTGGACGTGGGCGAGCGGATTCGCACAACGTGTATGCGCGTCCAGTGATTGATTCGGTTGCATCCATGATGTGAGCAGGATAATGACGACCTCGCCAACGTGGATGGACTTGAAAGTGTCACGAGCGTCGGCGGCTTCTTGGACATTGTTGTACGTTGTTGGTCAGGGCGTGTCACTTTTGGTGAACGCAGGTGCGCGACGGGTAGCGTCTATTCCGATGTCTTATTCTTCTGCATCGAACAGGGCAATGATGGTCTAACAAATTTGAACGGGCTTGGAAATATCACCAGTGTCGGCGGCTACGTGTACATCTACGTACGTTTCATGAGGGCATGTCGCTTGTAATATCGCGCTCAGTTGGACGTTAAAAAGTGGAGGTTCAAGTGTCTGTGAGCGTCTCATGCCTTGCGTTGCTGGCTCGGACAGCTCAATTCTGCCCTGACCAATCTGGATGGTCTTGGAAGCGTATCAAGTTTAGGCGGCTACTTACAGATCCGTGTACGTTGTTGATGGTGGTGGGTGTCAATGCGTGCGAGTAGAAAATGAGAAGGATGCGCTAATTGCAATGTTGCGTTGTCTTGGACAGTCCAATACTGCCTTGAGCGATGTGAATGGACTTGGAAGCATCACAAGCGTGGGCGGTTACTTGAACATTAGAGTACGTTGTTGTGTAGGGACGCGTCATGTCGAATGTCACGCGTGTATTAATGTGGGTGGGCGTATTATGCGGTTGGTGCGTGTTTGAGTCTCTCGTCCCTAACTTCACTGGACTAAACAGGATAATGACGTATTGAGCAATGTGGATGGACTTGAAAAGATCACAAGCATCGATGGCTTCTTGCACATCAGAGTACGTGGTTATGTGGCGTGTGCTTTTGCATGTCATGCTTGTATGTACATACGTTGGCATAATAGGAGGGCTATAATGTTATTACATTTGTGTGCCTCTGATTGTTCCTTTTTTTGCTCTCTTGAGCAGTCCAATGCGGCCCTGAGCAATGTGAATGGACTTGGAAATGTCGCAAGCGTCGGCGGCTTTCTGTACTTGAGAGTACGTCGTTGTGTGTGCTTCTGCATGTTGCGCGTGTCTGAATTGGGTGAGCGGGTGGGGATGGTTCGTTTTGTGAAAGCCTGTTGTCTCATCTTGTTGTTTTGGGTAGAACAACGACGCCTTGACCAATGTAGATGGCTTTGGAAGTATCACAAGGCTCATCAGCAACTTGGACATCTACGTACGTTGATATGACTTGATATGACGCATGTGTGTGGACGCGCCTGTGTAGAATCTGAGAGACATGTATTTGCTCGCGTCTGATGCTTCTCGTGTTGCTGTTTCAAACAGGACAATGGTAACCTGACCAATGTGGATGGACTTGAAAATATAACCAGCGTTGACGGCTTCTTGTCCATTAGAGTACGTTGTGGTGTGGAGCGTGTCACTGTGAGTGTCGCGTGTGTCTGGAAGTGGGTGAGCATGGATTGCAATGTGTTCGTGGGCGTCGAGTGTCTCACCTTGCTGTCTCGAGTAGTCCAATCCCGCCTTGACCAATGTGGGTGGGCTCGGCAGTCTTGCCAACATTGGTGACTATTTGCACATTGAAGTATGTTGCCAAATGGTGATAATGTCGCGTATGGGGCCGTGAGTACGATGTTTGGGATGGCTGAGCCGTAGCTGACGACTCGTGCACTGTTGCGCTGGCTCGGACAGCACAATGGCAACCTGACCAATGTGGATGGACTTGGACGCACGACCCGCGTCGGTGGCAACTTGGAAATTAGCGTACGCTGTTGCATGACGTCGTATCGTTTTGGATGTCGTGCTTGTATGCACATGGGCGGGCAGTCAGTGTATCTGTGAGCGTCTGATGGTTTGTGTGCTGACTCGCGTAGTACAATTCCGTGCTGGCAAGTGTGAGTGGACTTGGAAACATTAGCAGCGTCGATGGCAGCCTACGAATTTGCTCGAATCCTCAACTCAACACATCAACAGTACCAAACTTGATTCAATTGTCGGGTTCTTGCCGCGTTGTCACCAGCGAAGAATGCACGCCTTGCTGAATCGTCTCGAGGGGCGCAAGTTCTACATGCACGAGTCAGCAGATAAATCACGGCATAATACGGCGGCGAAGCATAGTTGGACACCATTCCCACTTGGTAGATGTCTTTATTTATCCGAGTTCATGCGTGCCACGACCTTGGATTGTGGGATTGTAAAACGGCCCGCCATGTTGCTTTTTGTTCTGTCTTTTTTTGCTGCGCAACAAACCCTGTCATCGTCGTCTGAAAGCCAATGGGCAGCTGTGCTGCACATCGGTCGTGCCATTTCTTCTGAGCAATATTTGTCAGGGGCTGTTTTGGCGCTGGCTGCGGTTTGGGACCAATTGATGCAAGACCTGGCGCCCAGACCTTCACAAGCGTGCGGCCGCACCGAGCGTGCCGACGGGCCGCGCGCACCGGGGCCGAAGCGCCAAGAGCCCGTGAATTGAGATGGGAACATCAAGGCAATGTGCGTGGACGCCCGCAGCAGGCCCGGCCAATACCTTAATCCTGCTTGACGGCATAAAATTACAGGGCAACGCGCATCGCGACGGCACGTCATACTCAATTCAGTCGCCAACTTACCCACGCCCCTGCCCAGAAACAAATAAACAACTAAAACCCAATTCTGCCACACGGTTATCACCTCGGGATGGCATTGAAAGGATGAGCGTCACGGTCAGGCGTCACAAAGTATGATCGATATGCTGACACGACGTGAGGGCTTGCATTGACCGCAGCAGCGGCATGCCCAGAACAGCTACTTTGCAAACATCAGAAAAGATAATACCCTCCACCTCCATGGCGGAGGCCTCTCTGACAACATTGTCGAGGGCAAATAAGAGCTTCTCATCCAGCCGGCCCGAAGTCTTGCGTGTTGGGTGCTGAGCGAGCACCTGCGGAAATACACACGCTGGGTCATCATCACCTTCGAAGAGCATATCGAGCACCCTGCGGCTTAGGAGCATCGGTGGCGTGCACCCCATGTCAACCATGGCTCAAAAGCTGCGGAAGACCTGGCCCGCAGCTCACGCTTGGCTCTGATAAAGTCACGCTTGTTGCCATATGTAGTGTCATCTTGGCACTCAACGAGCGCAATGTCGCCACCGCTGGGCAGTTGGGATGCCGTGGAGACGATCAATGCATCTTGGCCAGAGTCACAGGCGCGCTGTTGTGCTTGTCTTTCCGTTGAAACTGCCTGGTCAATCAGAGAGTCCACGGTCTCGTTTCCCGTGTAGACGATCCATTGATTGGGCACGGCCTTGCGGATCTTGTCGAGCATGGGCACCAGGTGCGTCTGCAGGCGCTCAAGCCGTTCTGAGACAGGTGTCTTGTCGACGACACGTGTACTTCCAGACGTCTGGTGCTTCAACTGCCGGGCAGCATGCCGTGCCTCTTGTTCTTCGAGGATGGCCTTGAGCGCCGCGGGCAGGGTGGTGTCCAACTCGTCGTCAGCCTTAGGCGCTCCGCTGGCAAATGCGAGCGTCTTGGACAAGCGAGACGCAGCAGGCTGCACATGGGTAGCTAGCTTCGTGAGGTGGGCGGCCTTGAGCCGTGCTACAATGTAGTACTTCTGCGCTCTCAGACGCACGACATCGATAACGTGGTCGTGGGCAAAGTAGAAGCGCTGTGCAAACATAGCGGCATGCGTTTGCAGGTTGAGATCGTGCAAGCTGTGTGCGGTATACTCCTTGGCCACAGAGGCCACGGACACTGCGCACTGGTCCTGGCCCGGCAGCAAGTCATAGCAAACTCGGAGACGTTCCTGGCCGTTGCGCACACTGAGCGAGAGGTTCTGATTTCGGAGGCGCCAGTCTGACGTATCTCGCACCAGCTCGCCAAAGGAGCGCACACGCAGGCACGGGCCCAGGGCATCGCACAACGCCTTCCAGTCACCCGAGTCCTTGGGGCGCGCGTGGAAGTGGACGTCGAATGTCGTCGTCTCCAAGAAAGACCGCACCTCCTTCAAGAAATTGTCGACCTTGTTGTCTTCAAAATCACTGTCAAAGCACTCCTTGGCCGCATTTTGCAAGCAATGAGGCGGTGTCTTTTGACAGACCCTCTGAATCAAGACGACGGCATCCTCGCTGAGCTCTTCCGGCACGGCATCAGCAGCTGCCGCAATCGCCAGCTCGGTTCTGGCAGCCATTCTCCTGAACGTACTGACTTAGCAAAAAAAATACCAGACATCTCGTCGACCGAAACCATCTGACAATCCATTAAGTTTTTGTCTTACATTGTCTCTCAAGAGAAAAGAGAGAGAGAGAGGACAAACAGAGAGAGCTATGACGTCAATGTTGGACACTCAGCAAACAAAAGAACAGTCGAACAAACAAAAGAATCAGTGCGTTTGCGCACAGCGTGTGGTTGTGCAAAGAGAGAGAGACACACAGAAAGAGAGAGAGACAGAGTTCGCGAGAGAGAGAGACAGAGAGAGAGACAGAGAGAGATTCAGAGAGAGATTCAGAGAGAGAGAGAGACTGTTGTGTGTGTGCACGAGCAAAACTGTCTTTCTTTTCAAGTGCCCCTTCCACACTAAAAGAGAGCTTTGGCTTGTGTGTGTGTGGTGTCGTACGACTGTCTCGTTGGTGTGTAAACGGCAGTGTGGTGTGCTGATGCTGTTTGGGTGTGCCTGCACTGGTCTTGGTCTGGTCTTGGTCTGGTCACTGGATCGGGCGCAGTCAGTTTGCTGATTGCATTTCAAGGTAGAACGGGGTCAGGACGGAACCTGACTTGGCTTGAAAAGAGGAAAGAAGAGAAATAAAAGAAAAAAAAAGGTGCCCGCTGCCTCGGGGAACACGCGCGCGCCGGGCGACCTCAAGTGTGCGACTGACGACGCCCTAGTCTGCTGGTGGTCAATCACCGCACCATCATACCTGCGGGCTATCCCCTATCCCTGCTCCGCCTCTTCTCTTTTCTCTGTCATTTTTTTCCATCATTGTCTGGCACGTCTTTGATTGATGCTTGGTGGTGGAGAACCAACGACTTGCGCGTCCCTGATTGCCCCCTCGCGTTCTGGTGCCGCCAGCCGCGGCCGTTGAGCGCCCCGGATCGGTGGGAACAGAACCATTGATCCGGCCGTTCGGGGCCTTTCTTAGTCTTGGAAACAGTTGGATCGCTTCTCGGCTCGACTACAGCACCGCGCCCCGTCCCTTCGCGGATCTCTCCCATGCCGCTTAGCGTGGAGGTGAAGGAGGCGCTCCAACCGGCCTTCGCTTCTAGACCAATCACATACGTCCTCATGGCGGAGTCGACCGCACACGAACGCCACCCGCGTGCGAATCAACTGTTTGAAGAGTATACCCCTCCCGCCGGGGGCCCTCGGCATCGCTCTAGCCATGGTTTTCAGTTCTGGCAGATGCGCCGCGACAGTTGCGCCTCAACCGAGGACGATGACATTGTCGGCACGGGCAAGCTGCGCCGCGGCTCTCACCCCGACAACTGGCTCCAGAGCTCACATGGATTTGGCATTGATTTTTCCGATGCTTTCCATCGCCGGCGCAGCAGTGACACCGCCCTCACCGACATGGACTTGCTTCAGCTAGCAGAACTCGTCAAGGCCTCCTCTATGGCCTCGGGTCTGGGCAGCGACACCTGTCTCACCCCACAAGGTAGTGACGGGCGACGGGGTAGTCTAATGGTGTCGTCCATCACCCCAGTCCCCGGTGACACCAGCCTGGGCTCCCCCAGCAATCTCGACCCGCCCGCCATACGCTTCTCCGATAGCTCCAACGGCAGCCGCCGCTTTCCTGGCGCTGGCCGCCATTCCCGCACCCACGGATCAACCAGTTCCATTGGCCTGGGCACTGGTGTACCATTGGAACCCCGCCCCAGCATGGACAGTACCTCTTCCCAGTGCACCCTTCGCCCACCCTCATTGTCTTTCTCCGGACCAGCCACGACCTCGGACGAACACGAGCTCGGCCTCGGAGTGCCGCTCGAAGGCCAGCTTGGTGACCCCTTTTCTGTACCTGATGCCCAAGTCGTTCCACGCCATGATGGATCAACTTTGTCCTCCGTTCCTGACGCGGGTGCGGGTGCAAATGCAGACACGGATGCTGATATCGATGCGGATGATGACGACGATGGTGCTGACAGTGTCTGTCTGGACAATGGCTCCTGCGGCGTGCAACTCACCCGTTGCCTCTCGCCGGGTCATGTGCGGCGGTATTACCAGCGTCGCGCATACGACCAAACGGACCAGCCCGACATGAGCTCAACCCTTCAGCCCCGCCCGCCACCGCGCTCGCCCACGGCTTCATCTCCACACAGTAGCCACGGAGCGCGCCGCGCCCATTGGAGGAGCGAGCTTCTGACTTTGATTACTATGATCCCTCCACCCTTGTACCCAGTGGTCGTGACTCGGATATGGCGGCCTCGGAATCCCTTGCGCAAGCCCGCAACCTTGCCGCACCCTCTCACAAATCATCAGCTGGCTCCTCCAGCAGCACGCCACCCATCTCACGCCGTGCCATAATGGCCCGTCATCGTGCAGCCAGCAGCCGCGATGGGAGCAACCCTGGTAGCCGAACCGGGAGCGCCACTGATCTTTTGGCTAATATCCAACCTCGGTCAGATGTGTCGTCTCCCAGTGAAGGTAGCACGCAAGATTCTCATGAGTCCCGTCAGGACGACGCCTCCAGCGAGCTGGATGACATGGAGATGGAGCGCCCCACCTCAGCGGCCACCACAGCAGGCAGCAACGACATACAAACCCTCATCAACTTGAACGGCTCGGAATTTGTTTCGCCACGCTCGAGCGCCGACTTTGATGAAGAATGTTTTAGCGACGACAGTTTGGCATCTGGTTGCAGCTCTGACGCAATTGGCTTTGTTCAACCACGCCGCGTGTCCAAAAGCCCGTCAGCTCGCGGTATGGCTCGTGCAAAGGACTTTCCATCCCAGCACTCGCCTTTATCTTTCGCGCGCATGCCTCACCCAAAGCTCTCGCTTTTCCTCATCGCTTTGCCATAGAACGCTGGCGCTCCTTGCGGTACATGACCACCGCCGTGCGCGTGTTTGACGAAGCTCCTAT